TATTAGTTACAGCATATAACTACAGCATATAAAAGTAACTATTTCTATCTACTTAAGTTTGTTTCTGGCCACCTAGATATGGATCTCCTGGGTAAGCCTTTGTAGGGAGATCCTTTTCATTTTTCTCCTCTTTACCTTACCTACTCATTGTCTCCTCATTTTCATTTACATTTTTCTAATAATGCCTGAAGCCTTTAATCTCGGATTGAATCTTGGGGAACAAATCAACATGGAGGGCAGTGTTTGTCCAAAGGTGGAGATAATGAACTCAGAAGTCAGAGCTAGGGCAGGTTCTTTAGCATGCTAATTCCTGCTTATTCCAGCCTTACCTGCAAATTTAAAAATAAATAAATAAAGAAGGAAAAATAAGGATCTAAATAAACTATTTCTACTACAAGGGAAGGGTAATTACACTCACAAAGGCACCTCTGTGTCAGGGTTGGGCACAAGGAGCCAGAAGGTCTGGGAGACGCAGGCTTAACCTAGTCTCCTGCAGTGAATGCACATTGTCTTGTGTAAGGGGGAAAAATGCCAGACAGGGAAGAGGGGGGAGGGAATCTCGCAGAATTCAAGACAACAGTAGTGCACCTTGTCTGGGAGGGTTATTTAATGCTTCTGGCACCTGTACATACTGCCATCCCCTCTTTTCCTACCTTACAGGTTTAGAATTTATTTGGCATGTATAATTGTTATTTTGATCCTATAGCAACAAACAATAGGCAGCATGTCATTTCTTGATCCGTTAGCATTCCTCTTAAGTTTCACCAGCAACTTAACCCTTCCGATTCAGATATGCCATGACGCTGGACCCCATCTACTCCCTGGCAGTCCTGTTCTTCCATCTCACCTTATCTTGTTTCAAAATCTCCCAGTTAAAGGTTTAAGAGTCTCGGCTGGTGTTTCAGCAGGAATCTAGAATAGTTTAGTTTCTGTTCCTGATTTGAATATCCAGCAGGGTTAACATGTACATCCAAATCACTTAAGTAAACATTACTTCTAAACCATGTGAATCTGAAAGGGAACTGAGCAGCTTTGAGCATTAGCCTGGATTCACCTTATTTTGCTAGTATAATCCGAATGCAAACAATTGCTATTCTCACACACCGACTGCTAACACTAAATACACAAAGGTATGTCATTCAGCTAGTATCAGCAAATGAAAGTAGTCATCATTCTGAAATATTTTTCTAGCTCATGTTAGGTTGGCTTCTTGGATTGTATAAAGCTGGCACATCTAACCCTAATTATTATTTGATCTAAAAGCCCCCACTCATTTCAAACTCTAACAGTGTGATGTCAGCCTTTAAGTTTCTTTAAACTGAAAAATTAAACATAGTTAAAACTTTGGCAACTGGGCAAAAGCATATACACACAAAATCAAATATGAAAACAGCTGCAAAAATGCTTGATGGCTGGTCATAAAAAAGATATGTTAACAAAAGCATTAGTTGCAAGTAATCTCACAAGCATAAAGTCAAATATCAAATATATATTTCAGTTTTACCAAATACTTTATATTATGAAGTTTATTTCTATAAATACTGAAGAGTGTTACTTCCAATTTTAGATAAACAATCAAGCTAATAGTAGAAAGTTAAATTCTGTTTCTACAACTAGACCATTGTATTTAATTCTCAGGAATTCAAAATGCCAATGTATTTTTAATTGTGCAGAAGTGGACGGAAGAGATAAAGTGTGTCATAACAAACTTTGCCTACAAAAACAGATAAATATTAAAAATTCAATATTGTCTAAAATGTTCACTTGGAAGTACAAAGTATCAATGTAATATTTTTATGCAAACACATTTCAGTAGAAAGATAAGGTGCAGAAACAAAGAAAAATAAGCAGGTTCTGGCTGTTCTGCAGGATAGTAATAATCATCCATTAAACTCCTCCTACCCTGCTTAGTCTAACACCTGCTGCTAGGCCTTTCCCATTTCCACAGAGCATTTTTACCAGACCAGTCATGCAAAGCTGTTAACCTGAGCAACCAACAGAAGCATCCATTGTCAATGGGATGCATTCCAATTGTTTACTGTCTTGTTGCACAAAATCCAAACACCAACTCTGCCACTACACTCACTGCTTAAGCAATAAGGGCTCCAGAATAAAGCCATATCATCTGGGATTCATTTGACTGCACATGCTTTAAAAAGGATACATGACCGTGGTGTGCAACATGAAGCCAGCGAGATGGTGCTGAGCACAGTTTCCATCATTCCTCATCACCAGAGGAAAAAAAAAATCACTGTCCATCAAAGAAGTCTTTTTTGTTGTCCATATGGCACTTGATGCTTCTCTGTCCAAACTATGTATGCTCTAAGTGCCTTTCACACCTCCTCTCACTTAAAGTTCTACCCCCTGTTTCCTAACCAGATATGGGTTTGACTCCATAGGTTTCCCCTTCTGCTGCTTTTGGATAGGAGTGACATAAACTGGCAGAGTGGCACATACCTAAGCAAGGTTTAAATTCCCCTTTACCTTTGCATAATCTGAACCCAGATTACATTCCTTCCCAGCCCTGTGGCTGCTTTTTTCCGGTGGGCGTGGGTGGGTGGGGCAGCACAAAACTTATAACTAATATTACGCTTGTGATTAAACGATGCTGATTTTAGAGCAGAGCTATTTTGGATATCAGTTTTACTTTTTGAATTACACATCTGTCTTACATCAAAATACCTGGAGCTAATAATGTTCATACCCTTCGCAATGACTCTGGAATCTCACGAACAACAATGCAATCTAAATACTAAAATACAGCACTAGCAAGAATGGATTTAATAATCTGTCTCGTGTAGAAAGACATAATTAGTTTGTGCTTTTTAAAAGGTTGGCATAGCTTCAAAGTTACAGTTTCATTAAGAAACAAAAATTAAAATGCCATGTCTTAAGGACTGAATATTTTGCAGCTCACCATGCACCTTGAAAGCCTCAGACGTGTGGAGTGTTTAATATATTCTCCCTCTTTCACTTGTAAATATTTGGCCCCCAGCAAGTTACTGGGAGTCTCTCTAAAGGATAAAGCTGCCAAAAGACAGATAAAATGCTAACAAGTTAATTGAGGAGGAAAAAGTGGGGCAAGCATATTCCACAGTAACTGCCACTGAATGTCCAGACTGTTCTGCCATCCCAAAAGATACTTAACACACTCCCTCTCATCTCAGCTAATTTCCTCAGATTTTGATGAGAATGGGACTATTCAACCAGACCTGAGTTAATACATTGGTGAAGCAATACAGACATGGAATCCCTCTCTTTGGTTCTTTCCTCTTTTCCTCTTTTAATGCCCCCCTAAAAGATTCCCAAAAATTACTACATACATATACACAATCATTTCAAGACAGCAGACATAGCAAAGCTGGTATGCAACCAATGTTAATGCTACTCAGATGTGTTTACATGTCAAGCCACAGAAGAATTTATCAGTGGTAGTTATAGCTACTTTGTCAAATGGGTGAATGCTTCCCTTGATGACATATGCTCACTTAATGCTAATGGGAGGAGAAAAGAACCATAAAAGCATCCACTGTGAGTAGAACTAACTCTTGAACTAGCAGACTGGCTACCACCATCAAAGAAGGAAGCAAAACACTTGGGCAGCCTCTTTGTGGCCACCACGAAAACAATACATTCTGCACCTGTTCCTTAGTCACTGATAGAGTTGCAAAGTTTTTCTGGCACTAAGAAAAACAAACCATTGGACTGCCAAAAGATGCATTATTTTCATTTATTTGATCTGTATCATGTCTTTCTTCCCAAAATAGGGAATGGCATTGTTAAAGACAACTTCTGAGTAGAGTCTAGTTGTTAAAATAACTGTAAGTCCACATTTGTGGGTACCCAGTTTGGTGCAGTGGACAGAGAAGTGGACTAGACTCAGGAGACCTGGGTTTGATTCCCTGGCTCTGCCATGGAAACTCACTCCTTATATGACTCACTTGAAAACACTATCTACAAGTCAGTTCTGACAAGATGGTACATGACAACAACAATCTATATTTACATACCTGGTGTAAAATACATGAAATAAGACACATTACATGATAAATGCATACATGCCCATAAAATCTTCCCTTATTGCTATTTCTGCTAAAAGCAGAAAAGCAGGGGGAGTGACAGGCAGCATTCTACTCATTTCTTGCCTAAATCTTCCCAATCCAGATCCACACTGAAGTAACTTTTATTGCCACACAAAGTGACAGGCAGCATTCTACTCATTCTTGCCTATCTTCCCAATCCAGAACCACACTGAAGTAACTTTTATTGCCACACAAGGTTGCAAGAGTGTGTTTCCAAGGACCAAAAGACTGTAGACTTTGAATCCTAAAGTTAAAGTTTCTCCCTTCATTTTCCTAAGATGCACAGCAGCCTGGTCCAACCTGTCTGGTGAGCAGTTTTTAAAATTTGTTCCTCTGTTTTATTTATAGGCCACCTTTCTTCCCATAAGAGGACCGAAGGCAGGTAGTTCCGTAACACAACAGCAGCCTAAGCCAAGGGCAGTCAGAGGAACTATAATATCACAAGGCCTGCTATGACTAAAGAGCCAGTTCTCTGGCCAAAATGATGTAGGCCTCATGTGATATCAGAATGGAACATTAAGGCATTGCTATGAGATAGAGGAATCATGAAGAGAGTTAGGGGAACTAGGGGATGTTCCTAGGAGAACTAGGAGATATTATAAATACCTGGGTTTAGAACTGCTGCACTACACTGGCTTAAATTGCAAAAAGGAGGAGGATTCACATTTAAAATTGGAATTTGGCATCATTTGCAGGCTGTTGTTATACTCATGGATCCTTAACTAATTCCATAACTAGGAAGTTGCTAGTCTTTTTAAAGAAACTTGAGCAATAGTTGCAATTCTTTCTATAAGGACTTGAGTTGCTTGGATTGTATTTCAGGAAAGTCTTACAATATGCCACTTTCTATTGTGAAACACACTTTTCAAAACACCAAAACAAGTTCTGTTTAACTTACAGATTACAGCCAAAACTTATTACCTTGTAGAGGCCAAAAAATCCCAGATCCCGCAGCACAGTAAGGGCACTGACACGAGGACCAGTTGTGATCTCCCCAGCCACTTGCAAACGAATCTTGACAATTTCAAGCGGATTCGTGAAAATCACTTGAGAGCCTCCAGCCTGGGGGAAAGAAAACATACATACACTAGTGATATTGTGAGGATGTACCCACTGCAACACAGAGCAGCCGCTGGGGCAGGGGAAGACATCAGCCTCCCAGATATTTTGGTCTTCAACCTCCAAAAGTCCCAGCCAGCATGACCAATGGTAAGGAACTGTGAGAGCTACAGTCCAAGACATCTGGATAGGCAACGATTCCACAACTCTGCAGTAAAGAACAATTCACTGAATAATGTTGGGGGAAAAGGATCTATTCAGTCCAGTGAAACTCCAGTGACAGTTCTAGTCTTGTTTCGTCAACAGAGGTGGCATAGCAGCAATGCTTGCCAAACTGTACTAAAAGGTAAACTGCCACCAATTAGGCATATTAATTGTAATTGGTTAATGTACTGCAAGCTGGCAGATTTTTTTGGCTTCAACTGAGGAGTCCTCAGATAAATGCTGCCATACCTAATCAGGAAACAGTTCTGTTAAAAGAAAATCTTCAGTAGCATCCATTTATACTATCCAGAGTAAGTCAGAAGTACAGAAAAAACAAGTCATAAACGAAATGGAATTATGAACAAAAAAGAAGAATCAAAATCTGCCTGATAAAATCTTTGGCAAGCTACTGAATAAGGAAATCTGCCAGAATTTCTGTCTCTTCCAGCCTTACCCCCAATTTTGTCATTCAGATGAGAACTGCTATGGAACATATATATTTACAACAAATAATTTCCTCTTTAAATTGTTGCTGAACTGAAAGTTTGTATATCCTCAAACAACATTCTGCTTAGCAACTGCTTACCCGATCTGAATGCCATTTTTCTAAGCACAAGGAATATTTCATCAGTTTTCCCCACAGCACTCAAAAACCCGATGTAAGAAACTTAGCAACAGTTTAAAGTACTTAAGGAACAAAATGTTAAGTAACAATTTGACAACTTCCTTGAAAGTAGCTAATCATAAACTACTGCCAACATTCTAAAAACAACATCACTACACTAACAAAACTAATGTTAGGTATGGTTACTAGGAAAGGCTTAGGAGGGTGGAATATAAACTGGTACTCCTAAGGAAAGCTTCAATCATTTAGGCAAACAGAACACTGCAGCTGATTCAAAACCTTGTTCCATTCAGCCCAGGCTGATTGACTGGCAGAAGTTCTCCAGGGCTTTAAGGTAGGCCACATTCCTGACCAGGAACTGAAGCTGGGATCTTATGCATGCAAAGCATGTGCTCTATCAGTTTTTACTTTCCTCTCCATCACCATAACCAAAGATTTCTGACCTTAGAATTAGGGTTGGTCCCCCGTGCACTAGGACTGGACACCAAGTGCTGCGAAGTAACTGTTTTGCTCATACTGAAGGGCAGGGACGGGAGAAGAAAGGATGAGGGTCCTGACTTCCTGCAGTCCTTCAGAATCCTATCGTTTTGACAGAAGACAAAGAAGTCTTGGCAGCTAACAAAAGCCAATTAATGAAGTGCTGGTCCCATGCTTGGTTGTGTGCTATTGCATGACTGGCACCTTGTTAATTAGCCTTACTTAACTTTTATAACTTCATTTCCACAGCAGAAAAAAAAATCCAATCAAAATTTGGGCTACATGGCTCCTGTACCAAATGACCTCACTCTAATGTTTTGTTTTGGCAAATTCATCCCTGTGCAACAGCAGTTCTGATGCCACATCAAAATGCGGCTGGATAAAGCACAAAAACAATTTTACATAATGTCTTGAAAAATAAATAAGGGGAAAAGGATGTGATGGATTGTTCACCCTGCCCACTCATGGCTATAGGTCACTGAGAATAAAAGCAAGACAACAGAGAGATGCTAAATAGAGGGGTCTATGGAAGATTTTTTTTTACCTCTCCTTTTCCTCCACTCCTCGCTTTCGCCATCACCTAAATCTGTTCCACGCAATCTCCAAACCCTCCACAGCAAATTCTGGGGAGAGAAGGCTGAAGGGAGGACATTATATGGTCTCCTTTCTATTCTGTTAACAGAAGACTTCTGCTTACAGAGGGCCTTTAGTTTGACTAAAAGCTTGAATCTCAACCTTTAGTCAAACTTTTGCAGAGCTCAGAAGACTGTTTTTTAAAAAACAAAAAAAACCCTACAACTCTCATGCTGAGGGATTCTTGGTAATAAAAGTCCAAAAATGGTCTGCATTTCTGTATACCACAGAAAGGCCCTTTAGAGTTTTTGACTGCTTTTCCTTAAACTCCCAAGGCTACTTCTGTTTGTCAACAGCATGCTAATGTGGAACAAATGTTTTAAATACGCTGTATCTCTTCCTGTGAACAGATACAGCATGTTTTATCATTATACATGGGGCCTCATAAGCTTTTCCTCGGGATACAGGAGGAAATCTGACGCACATGGATTATGTTAACAAGGCAAAGATGACCATTTCAATCTTTAAAATCCTTTGAAATCAATGGTACTACTTGGGGTTATTAGAGGCCAAGTCATTCACTTCTGATCTTGAGCCAAAAAAATTTAAACTCCAAGTCCACTCTCAGGCTGCCTTTGTCCAGCATTCTCCACAACTGAGATCCAATGAGCTATTTCCTTCTATTTATTTTAATGAGCTGCAACTGTGGGTATCATCCATAGACTGAAATAATTAAAACAAGGACTCTGCCCTTAAATATTCTTCTTGTAGTTACAAAACTACAAGACTACTAGCAATCTTAATTTTTTATTTAAGCTTATAATGTCACCTTAAATCAACCTAATACTGTACTATTAAACCTACCATAAAGAGCCGCACTTTGAAAGCACTGAAATTTAAAGAATGAAGTTTAAACCGGGGCCTCTTTATGCCAAATTGGTAAATATGTCCACTAATATTACTATCCTGCAAACACTCTGCATTAGCCAGCTAGGAGAACAGTAGCTTGAATATATAAAGTTGCAGTGGAGGAAGGAATCAAGGCACAAACCAGGTTGGTTAATATATGCGTGCGTGCACACGCACACATTTCTTGAAGCAGATAAAATAAAGCAATTGATTCACTGCTCTCTATTGGTCATAAAATGTTTGCAATTGGCCATAAAGCATTTCATTGCTTTATGAAGCAACTGATCTCCTGCCAGCCTGCTGCATTTCCATGATGGTCATGGAGAGAGGAGTCCTCTTTCCCCATCCCCCTGCTTCCATGGCTAGAAAGGAAACCAGTTTGTGCTATTCTTTCTCTGTGAGATGTCTTCGCTGGTCTGGATGGAATTTCATGCCTTTGCTTGCATTGGACGTCCAGCTGCAACCAGGCAGTGTATAAAATGCAACCTTGCTTTACAGTGAAGAAGTTGGACTTTCTTGAGTCTACAAATTCCACAGAAGCGGGAACAAGGCACAGAAACCCAGAAAGGAGAAGCAGACTCTCTAATTTGTAATTCAAATGTCCTAGGTGGTACAGAGCTACACATTAATACTAAAAATGATGTAGCAATTGTGGCAATCTGTGTAGCAATTAAGGAGAGTCAAATGTTTCTAAAACATTAGTCTGGATGAAATATGCTAATTGATGCTCTCATACTTTGTGGCAAAATGTGATAAATATACAAAAACATAACTAAACTGGCAGTTTAGATCCTGTGGTCTAACAGAGTTTAAAACTACTTCAAAAGTCTATAATATTTAAAAACTCCCATAAACAACATTATATATGCAAAGATTCAAAGCAACAAAACAATACCAAAAACACTTAGATTAAAACAATACAAAAATATCAGCCTACACTTTTAAGAACAGAAAAACAAAACTGACACTCTACTGCTTTCATGTGAGGTGAAGCTAAAAACCAACTGGTTTCACGACTGAAGGACCACACAACAAGACAGCCATAACCTGACTTATCCGTTCTGTGTTGTAGGTTAATATATTTTTAATGGGAAATTGTTCTGCACTTTTTCAGTGACAACTCTGACAAAAAAACAAAAAACAAAACAAAAAACCCACCCACACACCCACATGCACCATATCACCAGATACCTCTCGATGGCAGTATAACCTTGTATACACGTGTCTATCATTACTTTTTGTACTTTTTCTGTATTCCCTAGATAGGAAACAGAAGGAGGGAAAGAATCTTATATTTCTGCTTTGTCTAAGAAAGACCATTCACTCATGGGAACAACAAGAATAACAATAAATTATTAGCTCAATGCTGCTGATCACCTTAACTATATTGTACAGTAAAACTGTCCACTGTAACTTATTCACTTGATTCCAAAGCTCAAATAATTGGCCAGAGGCAGTGGATTCAGATCATTATGTACTATTACATTTAATGAAATCATTTTATCATAACAGAATGAAGTTTGCTCTTCCCTTCTTGTCTACTGTACCTCAGACTCCCCAGAGTCTTCTAAAAACCTTTGAAAAGTAAGCTGCTAGAAACAGCAAGATTCCAAGTTTGCCGAATAAAGTGTATTTAAACACAATCAACTGCTGGGTGCATAAAACACAATAAAGAGTCATGTGATAACAAAATAACTATAAAAGGTATCATAATTCACTTTGCCATATGAATGAAGTGTTAGCTGGAATTTAAGGTAGTACACATAGTTGGGTGGTACTGTAAAGAGTGGGATCAAAAGGAAATTAAATGGAGGAAGTACTGACAGTGACAATTCCATTAACATTACGGACATTATTAACAAAAGGGTTGCAAACACTGTGGCATTTGATTGTGTGCACATAGTTGTGCTTTGTAAAGGACAGATGAAACAGCATCTTGAAAACTCAAAGGTCAATGTAAGAACAAAAAGAACCTAGGCCACCTGTTCTCCTGTATATTATCTGAAAATGAGACAGCAAGGAGTAACATAATTTAAGAAGAAGCATGTTGTTATTAGGCTCATGGCCCTATCCAATTCAGCATACTGTTCCTGCGAATGGCTAGTCAGTCGTATTGAGGATTCCACAAGGAGAATATGTGGCCTTTCTACAGCAAGAAGTGCTCACAGGAGCTACCTCTGAAAATGGAAGAGCCTTCTAGCTATTGTGGTTGACA